GAAATTAGGAAGGGTGATGAGCTCCTAGTGACAACAGGGGACTTGATGAAGGATCCAAAGCTCCTTTGCTCTTCTGTATTTCCAGCACCAGATAAAAGGCTTTGGATAAACACATCCCATTTCAGACATGTCCAGCATTTCTGAAAAATCCCTTTCTAAACTCTTTGTTTCTCAAGAAGAGGAGAAGGTTCAGGACTAAACATACTTTTTTCTCATTTGCTTGTCATGAATAACAACTGCATTATATATACAACATATATACACACACTATATATATATATTTATATGTATACAATATGCTCTATTGTAGCTGCACAATGAACCACTACCTCAGCCACAGGAGCTGATAAACACCCTGGCAGTCAGGGCTGGTCAAAATGAAAACATTTAAAGGACATTTAGAGAATATCACAGGCCCTTTTTACGAACTAATCTCAAGATCTCTGCTCTCCACTCGGGTCCCCCCGTGAAGATTTTCCGTGGGGCGAGTGCAGCAAACCTTGAATGCACAGAAACCCTCCCTGGCTGGCTCTGCTCCAAAACAATGACTGCACCAGAGGGGCTCAGGCATATCCTACCAATGGAGCAGAAAATTGCTTCAAGGCTAAAGCAGTAACACCTTGGCAGGGCCTGTAATTAGCAATAAAGCAGCACCCATGGCCAATGGGGCCATTGTGCCCCATATTCCATTTTTGCTCTTTGGTGCTGAGGGGGAAACGTGTGTGTGAGTGAGAATGAGAGCACAGAGGTAAATCCCCATCCAGGAGGCTCATGATGAATGTGCTGCAGTTGGCACGGAGTGGAACACGTGCCAAGATGGGGCCCTCTTGTTCCTTCCAGTCCCTCCCCCCCCACCAAACACCACATTATATTTTTAGCATTTTTATTTTCTTGGAAAAATATATAAACTGCGGCTATAAAATGTGTTTAAACAAATGAAATGGAGCTAGCAGGTGTACAAAAAACGGCCCCAAAACGCTTCCCAGAGCTGCAGTTAAAAAATAAAAAAAAAAGTCAACTTAAATAGTTCCATAGTGGAAAAAAAATAATCTCCAGGTAGAGTATATAAATGTAATTTTTTTGCACTGTGCACTCAGTTTCATTTTTGACTCCTAAAACTTGCTTAGACTCATGCTGGGTTTGGATCTTCATTTCTCACCCAGATTAAAGGGGTTAAGAAATGATAGATTGTTGTAAATTTGGAGATCCCAGAATCCCAGCGTGGTTTGGGTGGAAAGGGACCTTAAATCCCATCTCATTCCCACTCTCTGCCATGGGCAGGGACACCTTCCACTGTCCCAGGTTGCTCCAAGCCCCGTCCAACCTGGCCTTGGACACTTCCAGGGATCCAGGGGCAGCCACAGCTTCTCCCAGCACATCCCATGGGAAGCTGATCTGCAAAGCTATGACTCTTTTTCTATTATTTACCATTTTTATCATCTCCTTGTTGAACCTGGAGAAGACTTTGGTTCACTTTGACAATTATTTTTATTAATTTTTAGTAGAATAGGGTTGCATTTCCCAGCTTAATCCAAACTGAAGGACTGCTGGCAGTGCACAGAAAAATATAAGTATGTATAGAGAGATTTGTATATGTGTGTGTGTGTATAGAGAAGATGTCAGTCCAAAATAATTTATAATCAAAATACACCATTTGCCAAGAGACAGGAGGCTGTGCAAAGAAAGAAAATAATTCATTCTAAGTGGAGCTGGAAATAGGGTTTTGTACTGTGCTTGTGCTGCCTGGTTTGGGGGAAATCCGATAGGAAAGGAACTGTCTGGGAGGTTAAAATTCGATGGATTCTGATTTCTCTTTGCCCCTCTGAAGGCTCAGAGGGGTCAATACCTCGAATTTTGGGCAAGGCCCATCACCAGCTCTTTGTGACAATTGCTGAGCAATTTTAGCACAGAGAGGGAGGAGTTGGGCTTTCATTTGATGTGAAAAGTGACATTTTTTACACCTGGCTCTGAACATTTTTCTCTACCTACCGAAATTTTGGTAAACTTTTGGTTCTCTCTACCAGTCCTGCAGCCAACTTTCTTTCCAGCAATCAAGAACAGCAAAATACATTATTTTTAAATTAAACAAACCTTGACTTTTCTTTTCCATGAGAAATTACTGAGAGCACAGCAAAATGTATCACGTTCATATTTCCAATCTTTCAGAAACAGTTTGGTTCTCTAAGTAGAATTTTTAATGCATAAATTTCATGCAAGATCAAAATTTATTAAACCCTATTTTCCCATCTCTGCTCATTTGCTTTAGCCTAAGATTTCCTCTTTAGCTCTAATGGACATGTTATAACAATTATTTTTACTGGAATACAGTTCACAAATATGAAATGATTTTTTAAATAGAGTTATGATTTCTATTGTCTCGACTAAGTAAAACTAATTAATGTGAAGTATATTCTGGATTAATCTCACCCTGAGATGTTTGATTCAGATCTTCAATCCTGATGACTTTATTGAACACCCAGAGTTCCTCTGGTTTGTTAATTGGGGTGTGACTCTCCAGCCCCACTCTGTGCTGATGAGAGTATTAATCCTCAATGTTGACAAATCCATATAGATGGATTATTCCCAATTTTCTTTTAATGGGTCATTTTCTTCTGAATGGGCAATTCATTCCATCACTGCCCTGCAGAACTGCAGACCTGCTTTAAATCTGGCTGGCTGTGAGTGTGATACGAGTTGTGTGAGTTGTTGAGGACTCGTTTAGAACCTGAGGAGGAAAAGAACTGGAAAAATGGAAAAATGGAAGGGATGGTTCCCTTGTTTGAGATACAGAGCTCCTGGCTGCAGAAGGAGGCAAAGACAATTTAAATTAAAACATTTCTGAAGGGCTGTTGAAAAAGGTTTGGAGAGGTCTCCTCATCTCATGTAACATCCCCATTATTCCAAGCTTTTTTGGTATCCTCATCCCTGACCAGAATTACAACCCTGATGACCAGGAATTACTTCTTAAAGCCTGAAATCCATCCAGTTCTGTTCTAACAGCAGTGGACTCAGGGAAGAGCTATTTTAAACCCAAGATCCACGTGTGGTGTGAAGTTTATAATGGTTTGCAGGGAGGCTGCTCAGAGGACTCAGTGTTTGAGCCCGTCCCTGTGCACAGACAAGTGAATTCTTTTCAAACAAACAGGGTGGAAATTCTTGGCTTCTCCAGGAACCAGCCTTGTTTCCAGCGGCTCGTGGTTTGGATTCCCATCCTGCCCCTGGCATTCCAGTTTTCCCCCTGCTTGCCACAGCTAGATTCTGTTTGCTGTTTCTGGACCGAAGTGCTGAACAAGATCCTGGTGCCTCAGGTAGGCGATGTTTTACCGTGCAGGAAGAAATCCCTGTCTGAAGGCAGGGAATGGAACCTCCTGGTTAACAACTGGCAGCCCTACAGGAAAAGGAACTGAGCTGCCTTCAGTAGGTAACTTATTAATGGCTGGTGTTTAATTTCTTAGAGGTAAAACACAAGAATCTGGTGGTCCTCACATTAGTGCTCGAGCTCCAGCAAAGCCTGGGTAGAAAGGCAGTGCTGTTTCCTTCCAGCCACCATTAAGGGCCTGGCAGATCTGCCAGAAAAGGGAAAATTAACCTTCTGTGGAAATCCAGCAAAAGGCCTTTTCCCCTTTAAATCATGAAAGGAGAACTTAATGATGCATCAGCCTGCAGAGTGTGCTCAGCCAGAGGCAGGTTTGGGGATGTCTGACTGGATGCTTTGGAGGCACTGAAGCTCCAGATTTCCTCCTTAGGACCTTCCAGATGTATTGGAGGTGGAATAACTGCATTGCCCTCTGATTTCTGAACTGGTGAAGATCAGAGGCTGTTGGGATCAGGGATAATGTGTTGCTGAACTTTATTGTGCTCAACATGTGCCAGTTCCTTCGTTCTGGGAGAAAAAACAGCATCAAGGAGAGAAGGAAGAGTCAGAGACAACTGGAGTTTGGCTGGCAAAAAGCTCAGTGAGGCATAAATGAAAGGGTTGTGATTATGCTCAAAATGATAGTGACCAAAAAAAGGAGAAATCCTGTCTTTTCTAAGACCCCCTTAAATGCAAAGGCTCATCTAGAGCCAACAGATGCATGGTACAGAATTTTCATTGGCTGGAGACCAAATTAGGGACAATGCTCTACATGAAACTTGCTCATTTGACCAATGTTATGCTTCATTTTCATCAGTGCTGTCCATGGAATATTAGATATTCTGGCAGTTATTTAATAAGGCGAATGCACACAAGGAGCCCTTTAAGGTAAAAAGTAAAATAATCTCTATTTTCTCTTCAGGAGGTTTTGGCAAATGGGAAAAGATGGAGAGGAGGGAATAGAAAGTGCATGTGAAACAAAAGTTTTAACAGTCTGTCTAACCAATTGGTATAATTAAGTTTTACTTCAGCCCTCAGGAAACCCCAGGGAAGTTTGTGGCATCCCAGTTCATGTGCATATTAAGTAGAGGATCAGGTAACCTTCATGCAATGTTGGAAAGGGCTGTTTTTGAAGAGTTATGGCCCCCATTTAGAGCTGTGTCAGCCTGAGGTAGCTCTGGGCTGCAGCAGTGTTACTCCAGAACTATATTGGGCTGCACAGAGTTGGGTTTGGATTCACCAAAGTTCTCCAAATGAGAAGTGGAGGCTGTGGAAATGAAGGGAAGAACATGAGCTTATCCAAATGGATGGAACCCCTGGCCAGACACCCCTGGGAATCAGCTACAGTGGGACAACACCAGGGATCCATGAGGGATGTGCAGGATGTGCTGTGAGAAGCTGAACAATGTTCTCCTGTTGTCCCACACAAAACCAGTTCCCATCTCCCTCCCTTCTGACTGGTGCTGAGATGTAGAAGATCTTCCAGCACTGTTGGTGAAAACCCTTGAGGTGGTGTCAGAGATGCTGGAATTTGGTCCCATTTTATTCCCTTGAGCCACACTTCCATGTCATAGAAGCGTGGAATGCTTTGGGTTGGAAATGGACCTTGAAGATCATGTAGTTCCAACCCCCCTGCCCTGGGCAGGATTTCCATCCCAAAGGGATGTGGAGGCACAAGGAGGGCACAGCACCTCCAGGATTCCCTTGGGGGGGAGCAGAGTGGGATCTGCCTGTCTCTGCCTCGTGACCCTGGCACAGCCATGCTGGAAGAAACCAGTGCCATAAAGATTAATCCCTTCTGATTGTCATGAATGGTGTCTCCCAGTGACAAAGTGGTAATGGGAGTAACCTCTTCAACAAAGGCAACATTGTCCCCTCAGCAGGTTGGTTGGCAAACCAGCAATTTTACTTTCTTCCAAACATACTTATCTGCCCAATACTCCCAGATCTGCTCACCCTCAATAGGCTCAAATCCTCAAGTTTCTTACAGCCCAGGAGCCAGTGTCGTATCTGCACCCAGCCCTTCTTTACTGCTTAAAACTCTCAGTTTACACTGACATTATTTCTTCCATTCAATACGTGGGTAAATCCTCAGCTGCTGAAATCAGGCCTGTTCCTCTGGGTAGAGTTCACATTGCAAGTTGTTCCAAATAAAAAATTGTGTTCTCATTCTAACTGGAGAGGAAAGCATGGGAGGACTCTGTGTACAAACTGGTTCATTATAATTTTAGTAGGGTCCCTGAGAAGATCCCAATTATGTGATCCCAATCACCCCAATCTCCTTGTGTACCAGGGAAATAAGGAGCGAGGAGGAAGGAGACTGCAACTCATTTTAACCACTAATGAGATTCAAAGCCCCAGATTCCACCCCTTACCCCCTTTTCCCTTCTTTAGCCCTCAGTCCTCCAAAAGTCCCCAAATATGATCCAGCACTTTAGGAGACAAACATTCCTCTGGTGTTTCAGGAGTGCTGAGGTGGGAGATATAGATTTACCGAGGCCTTACAGCCAGGGGGTTTTTTTAGCCCCCCAAACAATGCTGGTATAGAACATGTCCTCACAAAATATTCAACCCTTGCACATTTCCATTTTGGGCTTGCAACCAGGTGTGTCTGAGCTCTCTGCAGCAGGGTTTTACCCAGCGTGGTTCCTGGAATCCAAATGCAGTTTATCCCCCTGTGTTTTCCCAGCAGCCTCAGTTCCTGGACAAGCAGTTCCTGCCTCGCACGTAGGTCACCTCCATGCTGGAAAAAACCAGAAGGACCTGCAAATAGCTCACCTCACGTCCTCCAAAACACACAGGCACCTTCCCTGAGTTGTTTCTCTTGGATTTCTTGGCTTGGCTGCCTCGAAAGTTTGGGGATGTGCAGACCTGGTGCTCCAACTGTTTGGACAAAGCGATGGCGATGGAAGGATTAAGGCTGTGGCACCCTCTGAGCTCCCTGTCGTGGGATCCAAACCAACCAAACTGGGAGCAAACAGGACCTTTCCATCAGCCCCTCCATACATCAGTGTCCTGGTGTGAGCAGGGAGCACAGCCTGAACCCACAGGGGGTGTTTCTTTAGCCCTGGTGGCAGCAGCACATTCCTGGGCTGGGGAATGTCCCGGGCTCCCTCTCACAGGTGATTTTCTGCTCCAGCAGCACTTTCCCAGCTGCTCCCTGGGAATGGCACGAGTGGAGCAGTTCATGAATTTGCTGCTCTGTGAGAAGCTGTTTGAGTTGCTCTGCAGGGGCTCCCGTGGAGTGGGTGAGACACCTGCCAGGAGGGCTGGCTTTGGGATGATCCTGCCTCTTGGAAAGGCTTTGGGCTGGATGATTCCTTGAGGTCCCTCCGAGCCCGGATTCTAAACATCTGTATTTTCACCCCCGTCGCATCAAAGGTTTGTCTTTATTTCCTTCCCAAGTCATCACTCTCCTTGCTCCTGCTAGGAAGCAGAATTCCCCTCCATGCAGAGCATTAAACCACCCCACTAATGACAGAAGGGTTAAAAACATGATTGGTGGGCAAAGCCCCCCTTTTTTTTCTGCAAGGTTGGTTGAAATTGTGAATCGAGACTGACAGCTTGCCTGAGTGTTTGTGGTTCAATTTGAAACCACAAGACCCAGAAGCACATGGTTTAGATTCAGTGTCTTTCTCCAGCTAACACGAACCATTTGTTCCAGCAGCTTGGCTATCTCTTGGAGAAGAGTTCTGCACCGGGATCAGCCTTGATTCACCCCAGACATTCGGATGGAAACCCGAAGGAAAAAAAAAAAGGAATAAAAAAATTTCCCCAAACAAAGCCTCGCATTTACTTTTTTCTTGTTTATTTTTGCAGCTTGTAAAGGGAGCTACTAATATCCCGGTTATTAAAAAAAAAAAAGAGGAAAAACAAAAAAGAAAATGTGAAATGCCAATCAAAAGCGGCGCCAAATTAGGTGGTGTTTACTTCAAAAATACGTGTTTCATTGCCTTTTTTAAGGCAAATTCCTGTAATGTAGTAATGTCAGGGAGGGCATGGAAAGAAGAGGTTTAATTGACTCAAAAATTATATTTAGACCAATCTTTTTAAATTTGGCTGGGTAAAATGTGGCACGTAGTGAGGCAACAGTTTAGTCCATGAGCTGTCACAAATAAAGCACTTAAATATACACCTCACTTATGCAGAAGTCCATAAGCTTAATTATTGTTTCTGCCTCTGAGGAAGAGCAGGAAGGTTGAACAGCTCTGTGTCAGGTTTGAAAATTAAAATACACAAGAAGGGATGTCCAAGTCTGGACAAATCCTTTACAAACCAGGTGAAACCATCCTTGCCCAGATCATGGAGAGCCAAGGAAAAGACTTCCCGAGGGGACTGGGAATCACGTGGGGTGAGGTTTGGGAAGTGCAGGTTTCTTGTGTACATATTGATTATCTGCCCTGTGCTGCCAATAGCTTGTCACTGACCACAGATCTTTCATGTTCCTTCCATGTTTCTCATCCCCTGAAAGAAGCTGGGGACACTCAGAAGGTGGCACTTCCCACAACAAGGTGTCACCTGGGCAAAAACTCTGTGCAGAAATCCGGCCCTTACAGCTCGAGAGGAAGCAGATAATGCAATAAAATCACTGCCTTTCACACAGCAGCACAGAGACTGGCAGAATAAAGACACACACATCTCTCAGGTGTGCAGGAGGCTGATTTGCTCCAATAAAGTTGTTGGTTAAACACTCCCACACACACTGAGATGAGGGAGCACCAGCCAGGCCCACTGAGCAGGGAAAGAGCAGTAATTTGATGAATTGTTGTGATGAGGCAACAAACCAAGTGCTCAGTTGCCCCAAATCACAGGTATTAGGGCTGAAACGAACTCTCCTAAAACAATTTCCCATCATCCAGCCCCGGGATTAGTTGTTTTATCTTCCTCCTCCTCGATATAAAACCGGTTCCAAAGTATTACATTACAATCCAGGGAACCACCTCCTGTGCTCGGAGTGAGCACCTTGGAAGGAGGAAAGAATCCTTCCCTGCCATGTCTCTCTATCTCCTAGTTAGGAATAAGTGACTGTAAAATCTGTGTATGTGTGAAACCACAATATATTCCCCCGTTCTGTCATTAAAAGCCACTCGCAACATAAACGTGAATCAGAGGTGGGAGTGTGTTCACTCAGGAGCAGTGTGTGATTATATACCAGGAGTTTACTTCCAAGAACAGATTAGATTTCTGGGAATTCAAAATAGCATATATTTTATTTTAGTATTATGGGAATTTTGAGAGGGCTTCTAACGTTACTGCTTTTTAAGCCACTATATAATCACAGTATAATTTTTATTAACAAAAAGACTTTATAACCTCAGAGCCGTGCGGCTGATGAAGTGAGCAGGAGGCTTTGAGGGCTCAGATCCTCTGTAGGTATGTGGGGAGAACTGCCTGGGAAGGCTGAGAGCTGACTGGAAATGCAGGTTTAAGGTTAATATCTGCTGTTTAAACCATTTGGCTGCGCCCAGGAGTGCAGCTACACCGAGTTAGTCCCCAGAGACACACACTTAGGGACCCCCCCTTCTTCTCTGGCAGCCTTGGGGCTGTGCCCACTGCCCTGGGGAGCCTGGTCAGTGCCCAACCAGCCTCTGGGGGAAGAACCTTTTCCTGGGATCCAACCTGCCATTCCCTGGGGTCCTGTCACTGCTCACAGAGAGCAAAGATCCATCAGAAGGTGTTCTGCCTTGAAGAAAATTGAAAATCCCTCTGCAGAGGTAGAATTCCCCTTCTGTAGAGTCACACAGGCGAGGTTGGAGTGACAGTTTGGGATCCCATCATTGATTATTTTGCTCTGGGTTCACAGAACAACAAAACATGCCATGAAAGGGTTTTTTTAAAGCACAGGAAGGACAAACAGTGAAACTGGTTAATTCTTAAATCTTCGAGTGTTCTGTTTCCACTTAGTGGGTTTTGTTTGCAAACGTGGCTTTGAGTGTCTGGGGTTATCAGACTCCCTTTGAGGAATGATATTATGATATTATATTAAAACATCCTTCTACTGTTTTTTCTATTGGGAGAAATCATGTTTGTGGAAACACAGAAGGGAGGGAGTGATAGCTCCAGGTTTAGGTTTTACTTTCCTACAAATAAAGGTGTCTGAACTGCGTCTCCTTTGGAAATGGAATGATTTTCTGCAATAAAATAACAATAAAAATCCGGGATGATATTTGACTAAAATAAGATCAAAACAAGAAATATTAAATTAATAATATTAAATAATATCACTTTTACCAGCATGGGAAACTTTTGCTTTTAAAAAGCTGAAAGACCTCAATGTTAGAGCTCTCGAGAGAGCACAGCAGAGTTTCCCTGATTTTAATGGAAGTGTGACTACCTCCTGTGGATGAGGATGAGGAACCTGGTCTGTGACTTAATATTTGCTCATATGAGTACAATTAGTTCACTGCTTTGATCAGTCAAGTGGAGTCCAGCAGAAACAAGGCAAATAATTATTTACAAACCATTTACTGATCCTGGTTGTGGCCTTGCTTATCCTACACATGGAGCAGTTTCTTACACCAGGATGTGGGAGTTACACCTGTGGCTGGGAAGGGGCTGAAATAAGGATTTGTCTGGATGGGAGCTGGTCCAGCTGTGTGGGGGCCATGGGGGGCACAGGAGGGCTGGTCCTGCCCAGCCCTGTGCCATCGCTCCTGCTGAGCAGGGTCAGGTGTCCAAAACTGATGGGGACAAGGCACTGGAAAACAAAAGAGAAGCAAACAAAGCATGAACACAAAGCCAGGAATAATGGTTTGCCTGAGCTGACTGCAGCCCTCATTCTTAGGGGATCACAGGATCATTAAGGTTGGAAAAGACCTCCAAGATCATCAGGTCCAACTTTCCACTGTGTCCCACCGTGCCCACTAAACCACCTCAAACCTGCTGCATTAAGGCTCCATTTTGCACATTACTGGAGCTTGTGCAGGGGTTGGACTAGATGACCTTTAAAGGTCCCTTCCACCCCAAACTATTCCATGATTCCATGATTATACTCTATTTCCTTGCAGAGATCTGTCTGTCCTTCATGTCACATCATTTCCCTTTGTGACAAGGCAGATTTTGGACTGCAGTCTGAGATATGGTGGAACATTCAGCCCCACCTGAGCATCAGTGGATGTTTTATTTCAGTGTTACAGAGCAGGACATCTGTGTTTGAAGGGAAGGGCACCTCCACCACTTACAAAGGGGCAATAACTGCAGCAGCAAAGCCATGAAGGGATGAGGTGGAGGCTTTGAGGTTGAGCACAAGCTCCAGTCCACGGACACCGTGTGCTTTAGGGGGGTGCACAAACCCCAGGGAGGGCTCCAGAGGTGACCTCAGCCACCCCAGACACACTTGTGAGTCCAGGTTACAGCTGACTGGAATCCTGAGGTTTTACTGGCCCGCAGCCAGTTTGGAACCCACCGGAGCCACCCCAGGATTTTACAACGTTGTAAAGCCGGTATTGTTTCAAACATCTCAAAAATCCTCCACTCAGCCTGGCAGCCTTCCAAAACCCTCTTAAATGAGCCAAAACTATCAGCAGCCACCCACCTTCCTGTCCGTTATCCTCTGATTGATGACATTCCACCGACAGGGTCCGACAGGCAGGATCTCTCTGCTGCAGGACCTCGGTGTCAACGTGATCTGGGAGACCTGGGAACTGCCTGCATGGTTTGCAGCTGGGTTTTATGGGGGTGCCTCTCTGACATGTGCTGACCATGCAGGAGAGACCTCTCATGGGATGGAGACAGACCAGGGATTGCAGCATCTTGTAAAACCTTCATTAGGGTAGAGCAGGAGAAACCAAATCCCACTGGAGGTGGGACACTCTTGTTTCTGGGGTTGGTTTTGTGCCCTTTATCTCACCTGCAGCCAGAATTTAGTGCTATCTGTTTGTAGGCAATCATTTCTGGGTACAAGTGTACTTGAATCTTTCTTTATATACACCTATTTATTCTTTTGTCTGTATCAATATATAGAAAAGGTGTCTACAGAGGCCCAGCATCTGATTTTTAAGGAGCTTTCTTTCCATGAGCAGTTTCAGAGCACATTTTCCCTCAGCAGTGACTCATCGTTCTGACTCTCCTTTTTTTTTTTTTTTCTTCTCTTACTCCTTAATCCAAGAAAGTCTGACTAAGTCAGCTCTGCCACGTCCCAAGTGTAGCAGGGATTCCTCCCAGGCCCTGATGCAAACAGAACTAGTAATTCTCCTCAGAAATAGCAGGGCCTTGCTATTTGTGGGCTCGTGCTTTACGCAATGATGACCTTGGCTGAGGCAACCCAAATGGAAAGGGCCACTTCACATGGAGTCAACGCCACTGTGGTAAATAAAGGCAGCGCCAGGAGGGCCCAATTTCAACATCTCCTGGCAGATGAGGCAGAGCTGGGCAGGGGCACTGGGCTGTGTTTTCTTAGCAGCAGTCTGGGAACCTCATGGTACTATGTCATGGTGAGACAGGCCAGTTTTGTACCTCAGCTGGTTGTTTTGATTGATTTTTTTTTATTTCTGAGCATGCAGACCCTTCTGATGTTCTACCCAAGGAGTAAAACTGATGGGTTGCAGAGATAGGCTGGGAGCAGAATAACGTTTTTTTGTCAATAGCCTGGGTTTTAATGTAACTTCAGAGGATTTTGGATATTGACTGATAAAAAAATTGGGAAAAAAAATATGGAGAGCCAGTATCAGCTCTTCAGCTTGGCATTAAGAAATCCTGGAGTGAGACTGGTGGTAGACCAGGATTTAGCCTCACACATATCATTTT